AAATGTGTTTGTGTGTGTCAATAAGGAGTACTGCGACAGCGATATTGTCATGAATCAACATATTAGCCTTCTTCAAAGTTAGCTAACACTAGTTACCTAACCAACTAGCTAACATTACCACCTATACTTTATTGTGCATGTGTATTATTTGTGTGCGTGTCTCTGTGTGCGTGTCTCTGTGTGTGTCTGACACCCTGGATGAGAAAACCAAGAGAGCGAATGTGTTGAATGACATACAAAACCTGTTGATCAATGTGTTCAATGTTCTTTCTTTTATCATCTCAATAAATGAAAATACAATAAATGAAATACAAATTCATAGCTATAGAAATAAATGCATTCATAGCTATAGAAATAAATGCATAAATTTATGCATTTATGGATCATGTTCAGCAATGAGGGAAAAATGGAGAAGGGATCGACAGGCGGATTGGTGCAGTGTCTGCAGTGAAGCGGGCGTTGTACCAATCTGTCGTGGTGAAGAGAGAACTGAGCCAAAAAGCGAAGTTCTTGATTTGCCGGTTGATCTAAGCTCCTGCCCTCGTCTATGGTCATGAGCGTTGGGTCATGTCCGAAAGAACGAGGTCACGGATACAAGCGGCCAAAATTAGTTTTTCCTGTAGGGTGTCTGGGCTCTCCCTTAGAGATGGGGTGAGAAGGTCAGATATCCAGGAGGGACTCAGGGTAGAGCGGCTGCTCCTTCATGTTGAGAGGAGCCAGTTGAGGTGACTCGGGCATCTGGTCAGGATGCCTCCTGGACGCCTCTCTGGTGAGGTGCTCCGGGCACGTCCCACCAGGAGGAGGCCTGGGGAAGACCCAGGACACGCTGACGATGTTTCTCAGCTGGTCTAGGAACGCCATGGGTTCCCCCAGAGGAGCTGGAACAAGCGGCTGGGGAGAGCGAACTCTGAGCCTCCTTACTTAGGCTGCTGACCCCACGACCCGACCACGGATAAACGGAAGATGGATGGATGGATGGATGGATGGATGGATGGATGGATGGATGGATGGATGGATGGATGGATCACACACATACACACACTCACATGTGTGATACACACAGCATAATAGAATAGAGACAGTAATGTTAACTAGCTCGGTTAGCTAGCTAGTTTCAAGAAATGTGCTCTTTTGCAGCCGACCCCCCATCTCCACACACACACTCCCACACCCACATAATGGATGTTAACATTGTCCATTATTGACATTCCATCATTGTTGTTGTAAAATTGCTGCTGTTGTCATTTTGTTTTAAAAATGTTCTACAAATTGTCAGAAGTGTTCTACAAATTGTTCTAAAAACGTTTAAAATAGTGAAAAATGAAAATATTTCAAACATGAAATAACCCTTGTGTAAAATAAAACACAGTAGAAAGTATTATACAAAACATTATTCTGAATCAAAATGGCAAAAGTAGCATAAAAACACACTGATTGTAACCCAGGTCAAAAAGGACCCGCTCACGGAAGACTGCATAGTCAGTTACTCACGCATCAGAGGGTTAAACGAAACAAGTCCAACATTGTAAGACATGAGGCAACCTGCAGGTACATATAGGTGATTAATGGCTGACCTGTAATCCTGACGAGTCAAAGAGGTACATGAGAAGTAAAATGATAACAGTGAGGCGAGAGAATCAGTTTGCCTATTTCAGTTTTCTGTAAATGAGTTTTTATTATTGCGAGTATCACTAGTATCAAAATTTTGATGGTAAAATTTACGTTTTGCTTGTAGGAATACGGAGTTGTAGTGTTGTACCTTGTGGTGGCGCTGTCAATGAAGTAAGCAGGCAGTTGGTGCATGCTCATTGCTGTCTCTCTTTATATCGCAAATATACTTGCTCATTTACACATTGTACATGTTTTTGATATTCCATTGTATGTTAAAATAAATGTGACTGACATTTATTCTTTCAGTTTGGCCATAAATGCAGTGAACTTTGAGGGTGAGGGAGAAAGTACCGTGCCTCACTGTTAGGGGGCAGCGTTGAACCCCAAACACACAACAGGTAACAGGTGATCTTCCTCTACACATTGACTAAAAACAGTAGAAAAAATACAAAAAAATTATAGTCAGATTAGAACCAGTCAAGGTTCTAATCTATTTTTTCCAAACGTATGCAGTTGATGATTTTTAGATATGAATTCTGACCAGATCTTGTTTTTCTACTTCTTGCTGATTTTCACAGCCCGAGTCAGTGTTGTGTATATAAATAAGGAGGATGTCTTATCCTTCACCCCATGACCGCACCCGTAAAGACGACGAGGATGACCCCGTTGATCAGATGATATCCCGTACTGGCTGTGCTGAGCTGCATTATGCTGTGCAGGAGTGCATGGCTGAACATCAGGACTGGAGAGCCTGCCAGAAGCAGGTTCAGAGCTTCAAAGACTGCATGACAAATTTCCAAAATGCTCAGAAAGAACAGCGGAGAGCCCAATCGCAGACCTCTAACAAGTCAACCAGTTGAACTCACAAATCCATGTGGTTTTGGGATAAGTTCAAGAACTGTTTGTGATACTTTTAAAGCAAAAGACTGTAATAAATGTCATAATAACCAATGAAAATAAACTTTGAAATGTGACGTGGCTTGAAATTTTAAATATACGACATTGATTCTCAAACAAAAACTGATGGTTCCTTAAAAAAGACATTGACTAGACAGTTTCTCATTATCCATGGAACTGCTACAAAAAAGGCCTTTTCTGTACTTTCATACATCTTTCTGAAAGAAATTAACATTCGGCAGTCTGTTGATGAGCTGCTCAATTACATGCATAACTCAAATTGATCTAAAAGAGACCCATTTCAAAACGCAGTCAAAAGGTTTTTGAACCAGAACCAAACATGGAGAAGCAGCATTCAGCTTCTACGCACCACAAATCTGGAACAAACTCAGAGAACTGCCAAAACAGAGTGGCTTTACATCTGGACTAAAAACCCACCTGTTCAGGGTTGCTTTTGAAACATAATCAACAAAACATTAATGAACAATTGTTGAGTGTGTGTTTTGCAACTTTGTATTTTTTTTTTGTTTGTTTTTATGATGTTAAGCACTTTGAACTGCCTTGTTGCTGAAATGTGCTATGCAAATAAACTAGATTGATAAATTACTTCAACATGTATTCCTATTTATTTGACTGCTAACCAATTAGACAGTTTGAAAAACAGATTTTGTGGGGAAAAAATAAAATTCTGCATAATTAATAAGTGTACCCTAGATCTAATATAATGAAGCAACTTTTTATTTCAGTTTCGGCTCTCAGTCTACTTCGGTATGTTTCAGATCTTGGCTTCTGTCTTCAGATTACCCAGATGATGAGGACATGTTTGTCCACTCTTTTTCATGAGACATTTTGTTGGATTTATTTCTATGCTCTGTTTAAGTCACTCACATACCTTTTTTTTCTGGTAAAGTCATTCTTTTGTTGATTGAGATTGATTAGGAAATGTCAAAAATTGTTTTATCTCGTTTTCAGACAGCTGAAGGTTGCAGGTCATAACCGACTAGTATTTGTAGCTTCTCATAAATTGTCCCATATTCAGATTTTGATAGAGACAATGTAACTCTTTGTCTTAAGATATAGAAAAATCTGCAGGTATTCATCTCTATAAGTTAAATTACTTTTTAAAAGTTAATGGAACTGATGTGCAAGCTTAAAGATAATGAACCAGTTGGACTTCTCCATAGGCCAAATTAGTGAAATAAACAAGGTATTTCATAATAGCTTTCAAAGTTTTGAGTTAATCTCACGGGATAAACTGGAACATATATTTTTTCTGGAACGCAAGTCACATTTCCAGCTGTCTGCCTGCAGCTTCTCAGATAAGCCCCGTTCAGTGCTGCGGCTAAACAACACTCATGGAACATTAGGTGAGCTGATTTACTTAGTTTTTAATATATTTTAGATATCAGTATTTCAAATAAACATCAACACTTTGTTTTTCAGACTTTACTTTTAAACAGATGCCCTCTTTCAACAAAAGCTCTGCAGATGAG